CTAAGCAGTAATTAATTAATGAAGATTGCATTGATGTCTAAGGAGACAAGCAAATTTTTGAAAATATAAATTTAAATACTAAGAATATCAAAAAATGCTGTGGTGGAAAGATGTATTTAATTATAAGAAATAGAAAAGCGATTGAAAACTAAATTTTAACCAGATAGATTTTTTTTAGAATTGATTTTTATTGATTAAAAGCAAAGGGGGATAACTGTTAAAGAACAGGACAAGGTCAAAAATTAGGATACATTCCGCTCTTACATATTGATACTAAAACATGAAGATTATGTCTACATATACTGAGTATTCAGCCAATATATATCTGTTATACATTCAGATTCATTGAATCTGAGGCTATTATGGGTCGGATACCTTAAAATTAGTCATAACCGCAGGTCATGCTCAATATTTGCGATAAGTATGAGCCTCTAAATGTTCTCATTTACAAGATACAGTCAAACAGGAATTATAGATTTTTATAAATTTTTATTTTATAAAATCACCTCATACTTCATCAAATAACCTTGGGTCAAAGCCATCACACATATATTCAATTTATGCATGAGGTACAAACTTCCAATGCTTCTTCAATAGGAAATCAGGGTTTGGGCTACAGCCTTTTCATTCAGCCCTCACTCAAAAAAGTGTAAGGTAAATATCAACAACATAAAGAAAAGAAAATGAAAGAAAAGACAAAAAATTTTATATTACTTATATTCAACCACTCTCTACCATTGGCCCATACATGTTTGAGAGAGGAACAAATGACAACTCTGCATAGGAGATTGATATCCTACAAGTTTAAATAAGGTCCACAGTATCAGTAAACATAATAAAAAACAAGAGGCCCAAGGGCCTTAATGGTCACCTGAGTATAATACAACAATTTAGAAGTTAAATACACTGATAGATGAAGCTTTGTTGCCCTAAAGCAAGAGAAGTAGGAAGATCAGGATCAACAAATTAATTAGTCTAGTATTCAGTATCAACTCATAAATTAAGTTCTAATCTGTCCCCCACTTAACACTATCACTATGCAGACTATTAACAAACTATTAGTGCTTCCGTACTATTTTTAAACCCATATTAAGACCTCTAGCATTGACCTCTTGTATGGTCTTTGAAGAACTTTTAATAAGATAAGTTATTTTTGTCTCATTTTTATTTATCTATTACTTACAGGTCTACCTGATTATTAAAACTAAGAGAGTACTTTTTGAATTATACGATAAACATTCTTGCATAATTATCTTATTCCATTAACCTTTCAAATAAGTTATTTACAGTGATTAATTATCAAAGGTGAATGGAAAAGGGGAATAACTTCTCTCAGTAGAATACAAATTAATAGAGCCCTGCCCAGGACCAGAATGCTTAGACAAATGGTCCAGATGTTCAAAAATCTGGTAGAAATATGCTTACTTATATCATTTAAACTTTTACTCAGTTTGCTTCCGATATGCCCAGAAGCAGAGAAGAATTTCACAGGTACAATGCATTTTCACTACAGATTCAACAAAGCCTTACCCTAACACCAGAACCCAAGACCAAGGGTCAAGAAATTTACAAATTTGGAAGAGTTACCCTCATCATCATAACTATGGATTTCAAAGAATTAACACTTTTCCACTATATTATCAAAAGCCCCCCCCCCCCCTCGTTATGCCAGAACCCCTGACCCTAGGACCACAAGATTTAAAAATTCTGTTCGAAGATCCCATTTTCATCATAGCTAAGCAATTTATTTATCAGCTCAACACTAAGGAGCAGACAGGATTAATTAATGATTAATTAATAGAATTAATGCTTTTTCACTATATAATCAATAGAGCCCCCCCCCCCCCCCCCCTCAAGAACCCCAAAAACTGGGGCCATGAAATTCATAATTTTGGAAGAGGCTCTCTTGCTCATCATAACTATGTACTTAGTTACTTTATTAAATATCCAGGAGCAGAGAAGAAGATTTTCAAAGAATTAATGCATTTTCACTATATAATCAGTAGAGCCCCACCCTAACACCTGAACCCCTGACCCTGGGGCCATGAAATTCATAATTTTGGAAGAGGCTCTCTTGCTCATCATAACTATGTACTTAGTTACTTTATTGAATATCCAGGAGCAGAGAAGAAGATTTTCAAAGAATTAATGCATTTTCACTATATAATCAGTAGAGTCCCACCCTAACACCAGAACCCCTGATCCTGGGGCCATGAAATTCACAATTTTTGAAAAGGCACTTTTGCTCATCGTAACTATGTACTTAGTTACTTTATTTAATACCCAGGAGCAGAGAAGAAGATTTTCAAAGAATTGATGCATTTTCACTATATAATCAGTAGAGCCCCACCCTAACACCAGAACCCCTGACCCTGGGACCATGAATTTCACAATTTTGGAAGAGGCACTCTTGCTCTTCATAACTATGTACTTAGTTACTTTATTTAATACCCAAGAGCAGAGAAAAAGATTTTCAAAGCAATAATGCACTTTCACTATATGATCTATATAGCCCAACCCTGGGGCCATGAATTTCATAATTTTGGTAGAGGGCTCAATGTCTATTACAATGATGCCAACAGTTTGACTGCTTGATGTCCAGGAGTGCAGAAGAAGATTTTTAAAGATTGCATTATTTTTGGTGGTTTTAGCCCCACCCCTCAGGCCTCAGGGGGGCAGGGACTATGAAATTCAA